GATTCGGTGTGAATTCGGTGAGATTTCTGCTTGTGCTTCAGAGCCTTTGCTACCATCATCGCTGTTGTCGGAATCATTCGCACTCCCATCATCACTCGCAGCAGCAACTCCGTCGTCTTTAGAATCTCCATCTCCACTCTCACTGGTACTGTCTTCATCTTCAGCTTCTTCTTCGTCCTCATAAATACTCTCCTCCTCGTCAGCATCTTCCTCGTCTTCATGGCTAGAACGCTCGTCCTGTTCAGGGTCGTCTTCCGGTTCTGAATCTGTGTCAATGCCAAACATTTCTCGAAGGTCGGCTCTTTCCCGTTTTGCCTGCTCTCTCTGGTCTCTCTGGTCGCTGCCTCTTGCGACATCTTCCTCCCCATCTCTTAGCATGGCGGTTGCGTATCGAGTGCGCTTCTGCCGTCCTTGAATTGCCAGTTTCGTTTCCTCTGTGTCCACGCGAGCACGGGCAACCTTTTCCGCAGTATGAGCATCAGAAAGTGATTGATTATAGACCGGAAGCGGTGGGAGAATAGGACTTGCAGGTTTCCGCTTCCTTGCGCTGGGTTCCAGCTCCGTTGTGGCACTCACACCTGCATTCGAATATCGCGAAGGACCATCTTGCACCTGCGTTGAAGTAGTGTTAGTTTCGGTAGGTTAAATGCAGGCATGTTGCATCACTTACCATGGCGATCTGCGGTTCGTCACTGTATTTGTGCTTGACGGAGAGGATCGGCGAATGACAGCCTCTAATATCTGGCGCCAGTTTTATTTTGAAAAGTTAGGCAAGGAAATTTATCTCGGAATTTATCTTCCATTGTCTCTAAGTTCAACCCAAACCACTGAAAACCGGCTTGATCTAGTCCACCAAACTTACACAAAATTTGACAATAATCACACAAAATCTGAATTCTAGATTCTGTGGTACCAGCGTCTCCCTACGTTTCCGCCACCAGCCTGCCGACGCTTCGTCCGTCGAACCGGCTGGCGAATGTCCCGCCAGAAGGTCTGGAAGCCGTCAGGCCCATCAAGATTCCACTTCTTCTCGTCCGAGACGATAATGGCATTCCAGGACCCGGCGGCATCCGTATTGAAAATCCTCGCCAACGCCCACTCTTCCCTGGCCACTTTGTCCTTCCCAGAGAGCGGCAAGTTGTTGTTCATCTTAGTAGAGACCAGCCGGTCGACACCGGTAAGCACTCGCTGAATAATACGCACCGATGCCGACAGACTAAGCTCGCTCTTGAGCCACCGTGCAGAGTAGTCGCTCTTGGCTACTGTGCACAGTAGCAAGGGAA